CCTAAGTACTCAATCTCTTTAAATGGTTCACTTCATGGCTACTTTAAGGGAGAAAGAGGATTAAGGCAAGGTGATCCTCTCTCACCTTACCTATTCATATTGGGAATGGAATATCTATCTAGAAGATTGGCTAAGCTCAAGGAAGACAAATCATTCAAGTTTTGTCCAAGGTGTAGGGAGCTTAAGATCACCCATCTAATTTTTGCGGATGATCTTCTACTCTTTTCTAAGGGTGACTTACATTCTGTTAGTGAGATCTTCAAATGTTTCAAAGAATTTAGTGTAGCTTCAGGTCTGGAAGCTAACCCAGAAAAATGTAAAGTCTTCTATGGTAGGATTGATGATAACTTTAAGGACTTGACCAAGGCAGTTTTGAATTTCTCTGAGTGTTCCTTGCCTATCAAATATATTGGTGTCCCCATGAGATGTAAGCGATTATCATTCATGGACTGCTCTCCTCTTCTCGACAAAGTATCTGGTCAGTTTCAAGCATGTATGAAAAATAAGGGACTATCATATGCAGGTAGACTGCAAGTTATCAAGAGTGTTATACTTGGTATACAAATCTATTAGACTTCTAATTACCTCCTGCCAGTAAGTGTTCTGAAGAAAATCGATGAGATGAGTAGGAATTTCTTGTGGGGCAAATCTGAACAGGTTAAAAAATTCTCTCTTATTTCCTGGGATAAAATCTGTTTGAGCAAGAAAAATGGTGGGCTAGGCATATACTCAGCCTCAACCTGGAACCTTGCTTCAATTCTGAGATTACTTTGGCATATACATATTAATAAGGAAAGCTTGTGGATAAAATGGATTCATAGCACATATTTAAAAAGAAGTGATATCTGGTCAGTTCAAGCAAAAATTGGTGATTCCTGGATGTGAAAACAGAATTTGAAAGTCAGGAACCGAGCACAGGTTTTATTTGGAGATGCTAATAACTTGAAACAGATTATTCAATCTTGTTATAGGAATTCTAAAATTAAAATTTCGGCTTTATACAATGCTCTTTCCCCTGCTTCTTCTCGTGTTCCTTGGCATAATATAGTATGGGAGGCTCACAATTTTCCCAGGCACTCTTTTGTTTGCTGGTTAGTAGTTCATAATCGGCTGCTTACTCAAGACAGACTTATCAAAATGGGTATATTGGATACTAATAATTGATGCTTATGTTCTGGTTATGAGATCAGAGATCATCTCTTCTTCGAGTGTTCCTTTTCAAAAGATGTCTGGTTCATGGTTATGGACTGGCTGCAATATAAATGAAAGTCTTGTGATTAGGGGCAAATTTTAAATTGGTACAGCTTCAGTTTGGGAGGCAAGGGTTTCAAGCAAAGGCCAAAAAGAATGGCTTTAACCTCTACAATATATTGCATTTGGTTGGAGAGGAATGCCAGAATATTCAAGCTAGAATGGCTTTAACCTCTACAATATATTGCATTTGGTTGGAGAGGAATGCCAGAATATTCAAGCTCCAAACGAAGTCCACAATTCAAGTGTTCAAGGAATGCCAGAATATTCAAGCTCCAAACGAAGTCCACAATTCAAGTGTTCAAGGAGATCAAGTTTAACATCCTGTCAAATATTTTCAATGGTTCTTTCCCGGCTGAAAGCAGAAATTGGTTGCTCTCTCTATAGCTAAAATTTTTGAGTTCTTTTTGTAAAGCTCAGGTGGTTTGTAAAACTGGATACATGAGTGTTTCTCAACTGCTGAGTATTTTGTAAAGCGCTGAATTTTTTCAATTTGGAAATGAATAAAAATTTTCATTTACCAAAAAAGAAAAAAAACTTTTCTCATCCTTTATTAGAAGAATTTGACATTAATGAATGTGCTTGGGCCTATGGTATTAACATCTTTGAACTCGAAGCATCGAGGAAAATCACCAACATCAGCCTCACTTACCACAGTTAGGTTTTGAAGGTATGCATGCTTTATGTTTTTTTTTTTTTTTTTTTTTTGAAAAATTATGCAAAAGCCCCATCTTTTGGGTGTTTTGCACAAGACCTCAAAATTTATAAATTAGAAAAACCCCATGGACTTTCAAATTATACAAAACCCCTGAACAATATGAAGAGTAAAAGGTTTGAACTACCCTTATTACTACTACCTACATGAACCTGAAAAGAGGATAATGTAGCAGACACATCAAGTGCATGGGAAGAAGATATTCCAAAACATGTCACATGCAAATTAAGTAATCATCATCCGTCAAAATTTTCTCTAGTTTAGAGTATTGTGCAGAACACCCCAACCAAAATTTAAGGAAATTTTGTGAATTTCATCCTTTTTATAAATCATACCTGGAAGATAATTTTTTACGTAACCTCTATTTATTGGTTGTTCTTTCTTAAAGAACCTGGAATCGAACTTGAGTTTATGGGAGTTGAGGACTCTGGCATCTGGTTTAGTAGCATATCTCATGGCTATGTTCATGACATTGATGCATATTGGCACATGTTAGGCCTTGGTTATCAAGAGAACATAGTGATGGATGCAAATAAAACTGTAGTCATTTTTATTTCAAAGGACAAGCTAAGCTGGTGAACAAAGTATGTCGGTTTCTCTAATTAGTTCATTAGAGCATGCAATATTAGATCTTAGCATGACAGATTTAAGAAAGCAAAAGAAGGTTATCAATGACAAGAAGGAAACGGTGAGAGACAAGAATATGTTCTGCATCCAGACAGGAAACAAGCTAATTGAGTGAACTTGTGAAAATATAAGATTTTAAAATATTTTAATCCACAAATTCTTGTTTCATCCTTCTTTTCCCCCTTGCTATAGAAGAGAATTTTTGTGTGTTATTGTATGTTACTTCCGGATTATAAATTGTAAGTGAAAATATATAGATGTAATTGCATACTTGTAACCTAGAAACTTCCATTCAATTAATTATAAAATGATACAAGCACTGATTTCAGAGGAATTCTTGTTGTTCACTAACAAGGTTCTTCAAAAGAAGGATAAAAAAATTTCTACATAAAGGAGAAGCTTTGTTCACAATAACCCCATGGATTTTGACATTAGAAAATGCCTTGACGAGCATCAACAATTGCCCACGAGTAATCCTCAATACAGATTCTTTCACTTATCTTTGATTGTGATGATAAATCCATCTGGTTGTTTTCAGTTCCTCCATTGAGCTCCATGGTTGTTGCAATTAGTACCAAACATTCCAATGCAATTGCAGCCTTAGAACTTCACCAATCACATGGACAGTAAAGCAAGTAAACCAGAGGTACTGTCTTTGGGAACTCCTTGAACACCATGAAGCACCGGTTTTCGTAGATCGATGTATGTTGACGCTTTCTTACTTGCCGACAAATTTGAGGGGTGGCTTTGAAGGTGGTGGCACTCTTCATGGCTCTATTTGGAGGTTGATGTCACGTATAATTGCACTTGTCACAAAAAGACGTGGTATGTCTACACTAAAGTCTGAAATATTGATTGAGGTGGGCGAGTAACGACCTCGTGTTCACAGGATCATCTTCAAGAGCAGCATGACCAGTTATTAGTAGAAGAATTGCATGGAACTATTTCTTGTCACTTAGTTGCCCATTACAAGTGAGGTCATTAGTTCGAAAGTTTGCGGTAATATTGATTATTACGTCCTACGATTGGGTTTTAGTATGAACTTAGTTGTTGTGGTGAACTGTTTTAAATGTTTGTTGACTTCTTAACTATTAAGCAAAGAGAATAATGTTATTGAGTGACTATAATTAGTTGATATAGTCACATGGGTATAAATTTTGGGGCATCCACAAGTAATTAGGAGAAATTAGCTCTTGCTGGTAGATTTTTCCTCTTAAATATATTAATTTGTAAATTCATTGACACACTCTTATCCATATATTGGTTTAGTTAAATGACTGATCATATCAGAGAGTTTTTTTTGGCAATATATTGAGTATCTGCTATTCCATTTTCATTATATCTCATCCTCTAATAATATTGAAAGTTTAAGGAGTATTTGGAATTTAAAAAGTTTTTACTAGCTCTATAAATGTATCCTGCAATAATATTTTGTTTAGTTTGGTCTTGAATTAAGTTATTTTCTTTTCTTTCTTTTTTTTTTCTTTGCTATGGATATTGATTGTGCAGCTTGAACAAAAAGCCCACTCTCATAATGATAGTTTCTTATAGAAGCCGGTATCATCAAACACGCTTATGAATCATATTTGTGTTTAGTTCCTTAATTGCTTATTTAATAGACCTTACAATATAGGAAAAATTATCATATAGGATGCTTCTTGAGTGCTTTCATCAATAATAGTATGTAATACAAGATTCGTTTTTACTATTGATGCTTAGTATGCATTGTAAATGTTTAGGGTAATTCTTTGGGGGAAACATATTGACTTTGTTAATAAAAAGTCCTTTCTCTGTTTTTGGGTTTCTTTACCTATTCGTTCAAATTGTTGCAATTTTTTTTACTTTGTCAGTTTGTATTTTATTTTATTTTATTTCCTTAGTGAAGAATTTGGTGAAGGCTATGTTGATAATAGGTAATCTTCAATAAATAAGATACTTTTACTGCTAAGAGGTACTTAGCCTTTGCCCTATGTATGTGTTACATAAAATTGACAAGATTGTTGTGTGCATTATTAGTTCGCCTTCAAATCTTTCATCTCATATGATTTCATAATATGCATCTCGTGCAACGCACGTGTCACATACTAGTCATAGAAAAATTTAAAGTAAACATAATATTACCCTCATTTTAACCAAATTTTCACAAAGGAGCTTATTTCAACATACTAATCAGATTTGGGGGACCTAAGATCAATTTCAATGATATGGGGGCCTAATATTGAATTATGGAAGAACCTGAGATCATTTTCAAATTGAAGATTTGGGGGGTTAATACAATATTGAAATAACGAAAAAAAAATAGTTAGCACATGGCGCTACTCCTCCGGAGTACAGACATGTTTACGAAATTCAACCCAGCTTCTGAATGTATAGTACAAACACAAATGAGCAGCAGAACAAACAAACAAACAAAAAATCAAAACTATAACAGTCTTATTGCATTTATACTTGCAATGAACTCTTAAACCTTGACGCATAGAGTACAAACAAAGATACAAGAACTCTGAAATTTAGTCCTCATTGTCCAAGGCTTTCTTCTTTATCCCCACACAACAAACTGACGCCAGAAGAAGATAAAAGCAGGACCAGCTACAAACTAAACACACACGGACACAAACAAAAGCAGAGAGAGGACTGAACTACTCAACAACTACTCAAAGCTCGTTGTTGTACCAGTAGACTCCCTTGCTCTTATCTCCTTCGGACTCCACGTACACACACTCCTTCGCCTCCCGATACATTGCCTTGTACACGGGAGTCCCATCAAACTGGTAGTACTCCCCAAGTATTGGCTTGATCGCCTTGGTTGCCTCCATTGCATTGTAATGTGGCATCGTCGAGAATAGATGGTGGGCAACATGGGTATCGGTAATGTTGTGGAATACCTTGTTGAGAATTCCATAGTCTCTGTCGATGGTGGCCAACGCACCCCTCAGCCAGTCCCACTCTGATGAATCATAGTGTGGCAAAGCAGCGTGAGTGTGCTGTAAATATGTGATCAGCACCAACCAACCATTGACAACTAGCAAAGGCACGCCATAGATTCTAATCACCCAGCCCAACGAGAACGCAACGGTCAGCTTATACAGCGCATAAAAGACTGCAATAACACCAGCATCGGAGATGAAAATCTGAGCACGCTCGCGATCGGAGTAGATCGGGCCATAGGGATCATAGTGGCATGCAAATCGGGGATAAGGGCGGCCAGAGACATTGAATGCCAAGTACAGAGGCCAGCCCATGGTGAGGCTGACAAAGAGGAAGAGGAACCTGCCAGGGGCATTGTTGAGGTACTTGGAGAACCAAGGCAGTGAAGATTTGGGTCTGGGAACGAACACCTCGTCACGCTCCAAAGAGCCAGTGTTCGAATGATGGCGACGATGGCTGTATTTCCATGAGAAGTACGGGACCAAGAGGGCAGAATGAAGGACAAGACCAACAATATCATCAAGGAGTTGGTAGTCGGAGAATGCATGGTGACCGCATTCATGGGCGATGACCCAGATGCCAGTCAGGACACAACCTTGGCACATCCAGTACAATGGCCAAGCGATGTAATTGAAGGGCGAAGGGAGGTTGGGGATGTGGCAAAGGGCGAGATAGAGGAGGGCTGAGACGATGATGAAGTCATAAACAACATAGGAGAAGGAGCGAAGAACAGAGCGCTCAAAGCAATGGGGAGGGATGGCTTTCTTGAGCTGGCCAAGAGTGAAGGGAGGCTTCTCAGTTGGGACGCGATGAACGACATTGCGACAGAGTTGTTGGGCCTCACGCTCTTTGGCCGTCATGCGTCCTCCGGCACCCATTATTGCTCTGGTCTGCTGCCTTCACAAACTGGATCAAGATAGCAAAGTTTTTTTTTTAACTTATATTGGTAAATGAAACGGAAATTTTCATAGAAGAGCCTGTGGGCCTACTGTCAAGCCTCAAGGCAAAAAAATGCACAGTACAAGTAAAGAGATCAACTGCAATTGATGAGTATTTGCGTAAATAACAGGATATAGCAATAAAATTTCAACTGTCAATTAGAGAAATTAGGTTTAATGATGCCGAAAAAGACACCATATCTACCATTCGAATTAGTGGCGAAGTGCGGGTAGAGATGCAATAATGCGCGCCAATTGGTGTCAAAATAAGTCAACTACAAGAGCAGCTTTTTAGCACAATATAATTTTTATAAAGGAATTCAGCAAAAGTAGTTCAATCTTAATGCTCCCTAAACATAACACAAAAGCCAACTTGATGGTGATGTATAACTGTTGACATGCAAAAGTGCAAGTTATGACAAAGAGCTTTTTAAGGCTAGAATTTATTATTAGATCCTCCCCAAACCTGTACCTAGACGTGTAGATATAAGTGCACATCAATGCGTTCACCCATCTGAAAAGTGCCCCTCAATATTTTATCATCCGAAACTAGAAGAGTAAACCATATTGTGAAGAGAAAGAAGAAAAAGAACAATTGTTACCAATCTGTTCGAATAAGGCTACAATGGAAAAAATAGTCTTATTAGTGTTACGCTCTGTAAAACTGCTACCAGAAGTTACAGAAAACAGGCAGCCACAATAAAAATGAGAAAATTTACCATGCACCACGAGAACCGTACAACGATAAAAATGAGGGATCAAATACTGATCAATCAAATGAATAAATAAATGAGTATATTCTTACAAAATATTCTGATTATTCACTTGTTTATCTAGATAGTTAAGCTGATGGCTCTATTCACAGGATGCAATGAGAAAACGAAGCAAAGTCGAAGGTGATATGACAGCAACAATCAAAAAGGGTTAGCGCCAGCCATAAAGGACCAAAAAGATATGTGTGTTCTAATTCGTGAATAAATTAATCAACACCTATATGCATTTAAAGAACTATTTTATTTTAACATAAATACAGAAATCTCATGTAGCTTTCTCGAATCACGAAAAATATCATCCTAAAAGTTTTGAAATGATACTTCACCATCCTCATTACTAATTCAAGACAAAAAATAAGCTATCATTGGATGTGATTACCTATTATCAAAATAATAACCATATACACATATACATGTAAGAATAGATAAATGTCATATCTGCGGACCACTGATTGGCACCCAAGTCAACTTTATAGAAAATGAAATGTAAGGATCACACTACCAATTTTAAAACCTCAACAGGTTTTTTGCAAGTCCTGCAAATCTTGGCTGTTCCTCGATATTTACACCTTATTTTATTATCTTTTGTGCTTTTATTTTATTTTATTTTATTTTATCCTTTTCATTGCCGACTATTATCATTATCATCTCTGAATTTTCGCGAAATGAACGAAAATTAAACTACTGTATTTCCCATGTTAGTAAAATACTTCATCTAATACATTTATCTATCAAAACAGAAGGGGTTATAAATGAAAAGGAAAAATACAAGAAAACCTTTGGGCTAGTATTAACGCCTGGATTGTAGAAACACTCATGTTTTATTGAAATAAGCAAAAAAATAAACTCTCGAATCTATTGAATTCAAGAGAAATTACTCTATAGCCGAGCCTTAAGTGGAGAGAATGAATTTTTATTTGTTAAATCTTAAATTAGTACACATTTATTCGCAATATTCTCGATATTAGAAAGAGACTGGTCTGCATGAATACATTGGAACGGAGAGGAAATCTACACCATCCAGTAGACAAAGTCCAGTGAAAATGAGACTGCTTGAAGAGGTGAGCAAGAGGCAATAAAAAATAAATAAAAAGAGGTTAGAGGTGTGAGACACGCTCGACTTTTCTATAGGGAGAAGTCAACCTGTTGAATATCTTTTTGATGACAAATCATGCCTACTTAAGGAGGCTACCCGCGCTTAGAAGTAAATTGAAGGGGACAAAGAAAAAAAAGGTTTTCAGAAGCCACCTCCAGCCGCTCTACAATCGAGAGCGGTGCCGTCGTCCACTTGCCTGATTTAAAATCTATAATTTAAAAAGGTTAACTAAATATTTGTAGAGCTATTATCCCTAAAAACTTATTATTAGCAGTTAGACCTCTGATGTTCAAATAGTTATCTTAGAGCATCTCCAACGTTACTTCAAAAGAACAATTTTTCAAAACCGACCGATTTTTTTTTTTCAAAATCGACCGTTTTTTTTTTATTTATCAAAATCGACCCGGTTTTGTGATTAGCAGGTTAATCACTATCCTAAATAGTCGAATAGTCGGGGTTGCCAACCCCGACTATTTAGGATAGTGATTAGCCTGCTAATCACAAAACCGGGTCGAATTTGATAAATAAATAAATAAAAACAGTTGATTTTAAAAAAAAAAATCAGCCGGTTTTGAAAAATTGTTCTACTTCAAAAAGTCATTTTGACGTCAAAAGTACACCAAAACTGTCTCCAACCTAGTGCCAAAACCTGCGCTATTTTAGGGCGCTACTGCGGTGTTGCGCTAGGAATGGCGCAACACTATAGATAGAGTTTTTTCTTTTTCACAATTTGCCCTTAAAATTGGTTATACTAAATCAAATATTCCAACCATATCCCATTTCATCCATCATATTTCCTATTTGGTGTAAAATTTGGTGTATTGGGTTGGAGATGGAATAGTGATTTGGTGTAAAAATTACACAAACTTCGTGTAAAAACTACATCATTTTGGAATTTTGGGTTGGAGATGCTCTTACGAAACTAAAATTCCATTTAATTGTCATTTTAGGCCCACGCACCTCCATATTTTTGGTTTGCGTCCCTGTATCCATTAAGTGTTTTAATAAGGCAAAACCTAGTTTAATTAGCAAATCTTTTCAAAGCAACACGACCATTCTCGTTTTAATCCATTACAGGCATCAAATCATGAATAAATCAAATGTGCAGGGGTTTTCTATAATTTACCATGAAAAATCAAAGATTAAATATTAATTTGCTGAAGAAACACCTATGGAGGCGTCTAATGCCACACCGAGCCGCATCAATCTCTCAAAAATGAAATTTTTTTCACTTTAACTTCCATCCTCTAACCCCATCCAAACACAGTATAATAATCCCATCAATAATGTCAATGCCAAATCTCAAAGACAACAACAACAAAAAAAAGAATCAGAAATCGTCGCTAGGCCTGCCAAGTTCGAAAGGATCCTCATATTCTGAAAGTTAAAATCTACCCACAAATCTTTACAGATCTAGAGATCTAGCGATGAAGAAACAATCAAATGACACAAAAAAAAAAAACAAGTAATGCAGCATACAAATCGATGATTATTTCGAAGAGAGAAGAAAAGCATTAATGCGAAAGAATCTGAGGTGATAACGTTACCTGATAATGGTGACTCCAGAGGAAGAGATTGAGAAAGAAAAGGAGATCAAATATTTTGATTATAATATTCAAGCGCTTCTCCCCTTCAATTCTGGAGTGAAACCCAAACGGCGAGTGGAGACCCCTTTTTAAGCTTTTCGGAACCCGTTCACGTGATTTCAATGGGGGCCCACTGCCTTGGCCTCTGGACCCAGTCTACGTGGGAAGAGTGATGACAAGATGCGGGTGTCGGATAATCGGAACCGTTGCTGTCAGCGAAGAGATCGAGGAACGCACGGTGGTGGAGATCGGTCCTTAAAAAATATCCGGAATTTAGTGATTATGGAATGACATAACTGCCCTTCAACTTTATCAAATTGGTGGAGTGCCGCCCAGAATTGCTAGGCGTGCATTGGATCCGGGTACAGCTCAAATATGATACTTATCATATTCATACCAGTTATCTCATCTCAGATAAAGAAAATTCATATCCATACCCATTAAAATCGGATGCGGATGCAGATACGGATAAACATGCGGATATATAAACGGATGTGCATGTGGATACAAAACAGATATGAGGAAACTGGATAGTATTAAAAATATATAGTTCATGTGATACAAAAAAGTTTATTAATATGTTCATTATATCTGAAAAGCTAATATTTGTCATCTTGATCATCAAAATTAACCTTAAATCCATAACCTAAGGATTAAAACTATCGTAACAGTATGACTAATATGTATTCGAATATTTTGGATACGGATCTGGAAATCTCACTATAAACTATAAAACCATATATGCATACATATCATGTCGGTTATATATTTGAGTAATCATATCTATATTCTAACAGACACGATTATAAATATTACCTCGGATATAAATACGATTTAGTACTCCTGGATGGTGGTTCTTGCTCCCAGTCGTGGAGGAGCGAGGTCGGGTCTGCTACTATTGAGAAAGAAAATTTTGTCCTTCTTTACCGAACACTTGAGGGCAAAATTGAGATTCGGGTGGAGCAGTGGTCATGGCTCACCAGAATCAGGGAATCCATCTGGATACGTGTTCAAAGAACATAAGCTTTTTAAGCCAACATACGCGTATGGCCAAAAAAAACAGAGAGAAATCTATCAAGATTTGGATTCGGTGGATGTAGCAATCCGAATGTAACAACACTTTTTTGGGTTTTTCTCATATTTTACCGTCAATTTTATGTATTTAAAAGAGATACAAGTCTAATTCAAAATAGTAAACGTCTGATATAAAATTGTCTTATATATTTAATATTTACATATTCAAACAAAACAATTAGCACAACTAGAATTCAAATAGTTCGGCCTTTGTCCTAAGAATCTAACCTTTAGTCCACAAATCCAACCCAAAAGTTCAAATGCCCAACTAATTAGAAAATCTTAGGGTGTGCTTGGCAACTACCTTAAAATTGGGTTAGGACTAACCCTAGGCCTATTTTAAACAAAACAAATTTCATTTTGGACGAAGAGGCCTATTTTAAACAAAACAAATTTCATTTTGGACGAAGAGGTAGATGTCTGTTTATGTCAGAAAATTAATGTGTGATTTGAGAGTGTTGAACTCAATTTTAGGGTCCCTTGATCTCCCTTTGATATTGATCTTCCCGCTGTGAATCATAACATGTGCTTCGCTACACTTGTAATAGAGTTTAGAGTCACTGGAGGTTGTTTCCTGTGGCATGCCCTCCGACGCTCAAGTTAGTGACTTTTTCTAGTTAATTTGAAGAGAAAACAGAGTATATCTTGTTAATTTTTGTGTGTGCCCTTGTCTTCCTTGGTGTGGTGGAAAATCACCATTACTTGTAGAGGGATTACGGTGGCACATTGGTATTTTGGCTGAGTGCACACAGTACCAGTTCAGACCTACTTTACACATGCTGGAAGCCTCTTGGTCAACTCGACTTTGCACAATGAAAAGATTGTGGGATTTATGACTCATCCTAGAAGCTTTTAAGGCTTTTGTTCGCACATTCATTACGACTGACGCAGCATTAAATACCCATGGCGACTAAGCGACGAATTGTGGGCGCTGGTAGGACGTTCATTAAATGATACATGACTTCTAAGGAATGCTTGTCAAGCCGAATGACTGTTGGAGACGTACTGTGTTGGGCCCAAGTGGAGGATGTCGTTCATCTCGGATTTGGACATCTCGATAAGATTCAAGTTGGCAGCGCCTTTCGACTCGGATTTATATCGCAAGTCAGGTCAACCGCCTTATTACTTGGATCATGCTCATTGATGCTTTGGGAGTCAGCCAGTGAATCAACACATGAGCATTTTATTAGGCTGGGTAATTTCTAGAGTATAACATTGGCCCATTTTCACTTAGATTCGGGAAAGTGAGTGCAAGAGAAAATAAAGCGCTTTCGTTGGGATCCGAACCACTTTCTCTTGATGTCAGCAGTGATCGTGCAGAGTGGCGCTTCGGCTGATGGGATGTCACTTTGGTTCTCGCAAATCATCAATGGATTTCCCATAAGTCGTGCCACCCACCAACTCCTCGCCACATGTTGCTCCTTTTGTTTATATATTGCCACCTTCTTCCTTTCGATGTTTGTAAAAAAAAACTCCATCAAGGTCCGCAGCAAGGTCAGGATCACTATGCTGTTGAACCTTGCCACGTGTTGCTCCTTTTTGCGGCTGTAAGTACATTCGTTCTGATGCTCATCCCGTCAAGGTCAGCAGTGAGGTCAGGATCGCTATGTTGTGGAACATTTACTTGGAGGTGCTTCCGAGTTTTTGGGAGCAGTATTTTCAAGATTTTGACATCCCTAGTGATTACACATTGGTGGAACCATAGAGATATCAACCTATTTATCGTCATGGTAGGTATTTGGTGCCACTATACTAGCACCATCTCGATTATGGCCTCGTTTGCCGCTACACCCGTTGTTGCACAAGGTTTTTAAGGCCTTAGGTGCTACTCCTACTCAATTAATGTCGAACTCCATCACAAGCTTGGTGGGATTTCTTGTCATCTACTACCGTGTCGATGTCAATCCGACACTAGGGATTTTTGGCAGCTTGGTGAGCGATAAGTTCGAAGAGAAGGAGAGACACCTCAATCTGTAGGTGGTGGGTGATTTCAAGCTGGTGTCTAACACACGGACGATCAGCAAGAAGTGGAGAAAAAAAGTTCTTCTTCATTAAGGGTGCAGATCTAATCTTGACCTACCCTACGTGGCTAGAGATCAAGAACGAGGGGTCTTCATGTGGGGAGTCTTTCGACTGAGGACCTACAAGGGCTGGAGAGGGTCTGTGCTTATAAAGGGTCACAACATTAGGAGAATTTATGTGACAACACCATGCTTCGTGCTACTGGCACCTCTCCTGTCGCCACCTCTAAAGAGAATTTGGCTCATGTTGCGGTCCTCTCTATTGACAAGAAGCCGGTAGAGGGTTCTCTCTCAAGTTCACCTTCGGTGCCTCGAAAATGCCTTCGGGTTGACTCAGAGGCGAAGGAACTTCAAATCTCACCATAATAGCCTATTGTCGGTCTTGCTACCAAGCTTGGTTTAGATAAATCTTTTGCTCAAGCCGAGTGGCCCAAGAGGAGGAAAAAGGTGGCTGCCAGAGGAAGTCGTATGGAGCTCTTTTACCCTGAGTGTGAGGCAGCTGAAAGTGCACCTGAGCCGACTGTGATTGCGCCTAGATGTCCCAGTGGAGCTGTGGCCTAAAAACTACTCGTCCTTCCTCTAAGTAAATCAAGGTGAAGGGTGATTCTCCTTATTCAATGAAGAAGAAGTTGAACGAGAGGCTCTTGCTATAAAGGAGCCGATAAGGAACAAGGCGATTGGAATCAATGCTGAAGGGCCATTGATCGAGGTGGGATCTGGGTCTGAGCCGCCTAGGAGACTAGGGAAGGAGCCTACCATAGAAGACCCTATTGATGTTGCCTATGAGAAGACTTCTTCGAGTGCTCTAGGTCTCTTCACTGTAGTTCATGATGGCTAGTATGAGTGACCCTATCCTCACCGGATTGGCAAGCATTGTCCCCATACCTAGGAGAGGATGCGAGCTCTCTTGATGTGCCCAAGTCTCATCCTTGAGTGTTGAATATATGCCAAAGGGTTTACTCTCCTTCTTCCCCTGAGAAGCTCGACTCTCCTCCTTCAGATGGCGCTAACCCAGATTCGCCTCCAGTTCAGGCTGTGGATGCCCCTTGAGGACAATGTACATACTCTCTTTTTTGGGGGCCTCCGTAAGAACCCTGTAATATTTTGGCAGATGAACTAAGGCTATTTTCTTTTATTGATTCACTTCTTTGCACTTATTTTATGATTTTCTTCTCAATTATGCATTTGATTTCCTAAGATGTTTTTTGGACGGATCAGTGTGGGTTGAGTCACGTTTTTTCTCATCTTTAGAGCATACCGGTGAGGAACGGGTGATGTTTCGAGTGTGATACTAATGCCAGACAAGTCGGTGAAGACTGAGACATCAGACATCCTCACCGTGCATTGGTTTTACTTATGAAAATAATACTAAAAGCTTGGTATATGCCTTAGATTTATTCTAAAAAGGCACTAAGGGCCTTTAGTCTTCATTGTTGACTAGATGAAGATTGAGTCGCAAGGACTTCGTGCCTTAGTTTTAGTCATAAAAATAATACCAAGGGCTTGGTATGTGCATTGGTTTTACTTTGAAAAGACACCAAGAGCTTTTGGTCTTCATTACCGATTTAACAAAGATCGAGTGGCAAGAGCTTTGTACCTTAGTTTTACTTGTGAAAATGATACTAAGGGCTTGGTACGTGCCTTGGTTTTACTCTGAAAGACACCAAGGGATTTTTCTGCATACAAATTAGTATATAATGTATCATATCTTATTTATCTACAGAACAGTTCTTACATTTAAATTACATTTTGTGGAGGCATCTTCCGGAGTGCTTTATAATTTAGAACAACTCTAATGTTTTCTCATCTTTGCTCTCCTTTATTGAAAATCCTCGGCCATCATAGCATTTGAGCGGTGGTGGCATTCGAGATCTGAAAATAGGAGATCGACCATCTTCTCAAAAAGAGATGAAGTGGCCCCACGATGAGCCCTAAACTATTTATGTCAAAAAATTAATGTGTGACTTGAGAGAGTTGAACTCAATTTTACGCTCCATTGATCTCTTTGATGGTTGATCTTCCTACTATGGATTGTAACGTGTGCTTCGCTACACATGTAACAGAGGATAGAGGCACCAGAGATTGTTTCCTCAGACATGCCTCGGACGTTCAAGTTAGTGACTTTTTCTAGTTAACCTGAAAAGAAAAACAGAGTATGTCTTTATGACTTTTTTTGTGTGAGTCCTTGCCTCCCTTGGTGTGGTGGAAATCACCATTATTTATAGAGGGATTACAAGGGCACATTTGTAATTTTTGCAGAGTGCACGCAGTACTGGTCCAAACCTACTTTACACATGCCGGCAGTCTCTAAGTCAAGTCGACTTTGCACAGTGAAAGGACAATAGGATTTATGGCTCGTCCGAGGAGCTTTTTAAGGCTCTGGTTCGTACCGTCATTATGACCGACACAACATTAAATACATATGGTGACTAGGCGACGGATGTTGGCCTTCTTGTTTTGATGATGTTTAACAAACAATTTATTACTAATGTTGTTTGTCTAGTGTTTGTGCATTCCTATGTTTTGTAGACAAACAACATAGTTGGAGGTTGGATGGAATAGCGCTTCAACGATCATATCCAAAGGAGGTTGGCGGAATGTCGGATTGAAGCCTATACAATTCAAGTTAAAGATCAAGTTCAAGCTTCATCCGCAACGTGTACCAAGTTGAGCTACAATGAAGATCAAGATCAAGCTTGGGTAACTTAGCTTAGGATTTATATTATGTGTGTTAAATACGTTAAGCTCAATATCATATACACACACATTTTTATGATGTTTCCTTGTATATATATAGTTATATATATATACATAAGTTTTGGTTTCTATGCATATATATAGTTATATATATACATACATATGTTTTGAGTTTTTATGGTTATATATATGAAATTATATATTTCATATTCTCTATTGTGTTTTTAGAAAACATTGCATAAAATATGCAATTTTGTGAAAATATTATATTCTTAGCTTATAGACTTCAATATCAGTTTATACATGTTTTACTAAGTCTATAAAAACATTTCACAAAGTTTCAAAAGTTGGTTTATGTCAAAACATCAAAATTCAAGTATCTCATATTTTTATGTTTTGGACTAGTTTGTAAAATGATGATATTTTTCATTTGGGAAGTCCTTTTTGATAACCAGTCATTGTAGCATGTTTATTATCATGTCTACAATCATTCCCCAAAGTTTTACATTTCCCCAAAGTTTTATATTTTTTGGAATTTGTTTGCTATTTTTAAACAGCGTTTCAAAACTGTTTTTCAGGAGTATCAGTATTCGGTCGACCGCACCGGTCGACCGAACCTGAGGTCATATGTTCACTGGGCGACAGAGAGCCTGTCGGTCGACCGGTCCGGTCGACCGATGAAAATTTTCGGTCGACCGACGAATTTTCCGGTCGACCGACAATGTTGTTTTCAGCTTCCAACGGCTAGTTTTTTTACCGTTACTGGGGGTTGTTTTGTCTTTCTGCTTGGGGTTTTTGGCTGAGTTATGAGAGGGTATAAATATCATCTATTGGTGTTTGGGCATTCAACTATTCTCCCTCCAACTCTTGATATATTGAGAAGTTTTCTAAACTCTATTTCTAGCTTTTTTATATATTTGATTATCATTGTTATTAAGCTAGAACTACATTGAGTTTAGTTTTGATTTATATCTCTTTGTTCACACACAACCTTTTGAGCTTATTGTATTTACATTCATAGTATAATTTGGGGTTGTGGGTTTGTGACTAAGAGTTGTGCTTAATTGAGTTCTCACCTTGTTTTGAGAACAATCATTTGTCATATTTGTGCTTATTGTGAGAATCACTTTGTAATACACTTGTACACCGAGTGAGGAGTGTGTGGTGAGAGTCGGGGATCGTCCCAAGAGGAGTGGCGTCGGTTGACGTGCCTAGGGAGAGGTTGTAACCGAGCACTTGAGGGAGACACGGCTAGGTCCAACACTTAGTGGGTGTAGAGTGTGATTGCAAGAGTGTGAGTTGTAGAGTTTTCGGTTAGCTAGAAAACCGAGTGTGTAGAAGAAGTTCCGGCTTCCAAACCGGATTGTGTTAGTGGATTTCTCCCCGGGAGTGGGGAGCGGAGACGTAGGACGGAAGGTCCGAACTCCGTGATCATATAGTGTGTTTGAGTATGCTTTGGCGTTCATTTATATTTATGTTCATATCTTTTATCGCCATTGTCCATAGCTCATTATTTACATGATCCACTATCTAGTTCATATTATTTACCCCTTGTGTTAGTTTATATATCCTTGCATATATATATATTTCATCATATAGGATATATCTCATTGTTTACATTGCTTATCCTAGCTCATATATCTTGTGGTATTTCATACTTGCTAGAATAACTTATTAATAAGTTTTAATTTGCATTTAATCGGATTAGATTAGCATAAGACCCTAATCACCCCCCTCTAGGGTCTAACAACGGATTGTGGATGCTAATAGGACGTTCATTAAATGATATGTGACTTTTAAAGGAGCGCTTGTCAGGCCGAATGGCTATTGAAGACATACTATGTTGGATCCGAGTGGAGGACGTCGTTTGTCTTGGATTTGGACATATTGGCAAGAGTCGAGCAAGAGTCGAGTCGGCATCACCTTTTTGACTCGGATTTAGATCCCAAGTCGGGTCGACTGGTTCATTATTAGGGTCGTGCTTATTGATGCTTTGGGAGTCGAGCAGCAAATAAACACATGACCATTTTATTAGGCTAGGTAAATTCTAGGGTAAAACGATGTCCAAGACAAAACCAATTTAAAGGCCAAAATTAACCTTAGAAAAACTTGGTCAGGCTTGACCTTACAAAAACTTGGTCAAACTTGACCTAATTTTATCCAAACATAATTTTGCCTAAAATAAGACTAGCTTTTAACATGACCGCATTTTGAGAAGTTGTGAAACACCCTTGGTCCTAATCCAAATTCAAGGGCGTTGGATTCTTGAACAATTGTCCTACTCATACTAAACATTCACTAATGAAAACAACTCCTTACAGAAACTCTTGGCTGCGTTTGGCAAAGGGTTAAATTGAGGGTTAAGGGGGTTTAATCCTTCATTAGTCTGCCAAACAGTTAAATAAGCCAAAGTGTTTGTTAACCCGCACGTGAGCATTTTAACCCGTTTAACCCCGTTATCCCAAGGGTTTACTATTACGCGTGAGAAGGCAGAACAAGGCTTATTCCGCCTTCTCTCGCGAGGGCAAGCAGGGGAATTAGGAAAAATATCTTCATCTGGATTGCTTGGGTCGGCAGCGAAAATCAGGTGAAAATGTTTCCCCCCAATTTGTTTCCCTCAACTCCTTTCCCTCCTATATTTCCCTCTACTTTTTTCACCTGAGTTTCCCAACTATTAGTAGGTATATTAGGGGAACAATCAAGAACAAGAGAGAAATTTTTTACATAGTGGGATCTTGTGAGGGTTCGGCAGTGAAAATCAGCAGCGAAATCAGGTGAAAAACTTTCCCCCTAAATTGTTTCCCTCTACTCCTTTCCCTCCTAAATTTCCCTCTACTTTTTTCACCTGAGTGATTTTTCGCAACTATTAATAGGTATATTAGGGGAACAATCAAGAAAAAGAGAGAAATTTTCTTTTACATAGTGGGATTTTCTCAGCCAATTGCTAATCACAAATGACGGGAGGCAAAGGAGTTGAGGTACGTTCATTTTGATTTACTCTCAGTTTTTGAAAATTTAATAATCTAATTTTTACACTCTTTT